GCAGTGTCGGGTTTCCCCATCCCCGGCCACTCAACGGGGCCAAAACTGCTACTGTCACCGTGAAGCAACGGATTCGGGGAAACCACGGGTCCCCGTTACCCGGTAGAAACACTAAATAATTAACATATTCAAACAAGAAAATAAATGGAAAAACATGTAATTCAGTTCAAAATCAAAGTTGAGCACCATCAAAAGCAGCTTAACATAAAGCCTATAAGGCTGCAACCCTCCCACCACCCAGAACTCTGAATTTTCAAGAGTTCCTCAATTGTTCATCAACTGTCTAATAGTCATAAGTAACAAAGAAAAAACAAGTAAACAACTCAAACTCTCAAAGGCAGTAAGCCACACACCAATCCATTGTTCAAATTTGGAACAGATAAGGCACACTCAAACTCAAACTCTCAATGGCAGTAAGCCAAAATCTCAAAGGCACCAGCAAGGCTGCAACCAGATTTGAAGAACAGAAGCAGTCAAGCAGCACATGACAATTGACATTCATTCCCTGCAAGAAAACAAAAATATGAAGACACAGATACAAGCTTACAATAAAGGAGACAAGTCAGTTTGAATGTATTATATACCTTCTCTTCTGAGGTTCCAATAATCAGTCATCAAAGGAGAATGGTGAATCCAGATTCAGAAGTTCCTGGACTGCAATCAACATAAAAAAAAACTTTGTTCACTTATGCAGTTCATAAATCATAACTTACCAACTAGAAACTAAAAACCAACTAACTTACCCCCATTTTCCTGATCTTCTACACTTGAATCGTGAACTGACAGCCCAGTAAACAGTCCATCCATTGCCTCCACAGCAGCAGCAGCCTCTGATTCTGCAGAAATAAAACAAACTCACTTGTTTAAATGAACCAAAAGCTACTACTAAGACTAAACTCGAAGTATATTGCAGGTTACCTCTTAGCCAGGCTTCCCTAACCCAGCTACGACTGCACAACATAGCCTCCACAGTAGAATAGTCGAGCCTGCTCCTGTGGGGTTCTAACAACCTCCCACCAGAGCTGAAAGCACTCTCGGAAGCAACTGATGTTATTGGTATAGCCAAAAAGTCCCTTGCAATTGCTTGCAAAGTAGGATACTTAAGGCCATTCAACTTCCACCACATCAAGAGATCAAATTCAGCAGATGGATCACGAGGAATAAGTTCCTCAGCAAGATAATGGTCCAACTCAGTAGTAATCAGAGTTGTTTTGCTCTTTTTCCTCTGACTTACAAACAACTTGAAATCAAGATCAGTTACTGAAACAGAGGCATTTGCATTTCCAACCGGTTCATTGGCAGAAGAACCAGATTTCTTTTCAACCTTGGTTTGATAATCATTAATCAAAGCACAAATCAACTGTTTTAGATCCTTAGCCACCAAGTAAGTATCAGAGCTGCCAAACTTAGCAGCATAATACTCAATGACATGCATTTTGTACCTAGGATCCAGAACCACTGAAACTGCCAGAACAAGATGTATATCATCCCAATACTTTGTGAATTTCAACCACATATTTCCAGCCATGGAAGAAATAACAGGATCAAGATCAGCACACCACTCACTCAATTTCAATCGTAGATCATAGACCTTAGAGAAAAACAGATTGGTAGTGGGGTACTTGGTACCAGAAAATAATGCAGTCATCTCACTGAAAATGAGTAGTTTATCAATCACAATAGTAGCAAAATCCTAGTGATCATTAGTAGGAACTGATGTGTATTGATTATCCATCTGTCTTAAACGAAAAAAGACATCTATGTACAGAAGAGCAATAGAGAGCATATCATAGGTAGAATTCCACCTTGTTGGACAATCAAGCACAAGTTTTTTTCCCAACAACCAACTTAAGCTATTTAACAGCTTCATTGAAAGTCTGGACCCTCTTAGGTGTGGAAGTCCAATACACCACACTCTCCCTAATCAAATGGATTCCATCCTTTATCACATCCAAACCATCTTTCACAATAAGGTTCAGTATATGAGGAGAACACCTCATATGAATCAGTCTACCATCCATCAACAAGTCATTCAAAACAAGTTTATTCTTAAGGTGAGCAATCATGGAATCATTAGTGGAGCAGTTGTCCAAGGTGATTGCAGACAACTTTCCATCAATGTTCCAATTCAGAAGACATTGAAACAGTTTTCTTGTAAGCCTCTCAATCGTATGAGGGGCAGGGACATACAAAAACTTTAGCATTGAGTTTCTAAGCTTCCAAGTATTATCAATAAAGTGAGGTGTGACTGCCATATAACCCCTCTTTTGGTTTGGGGCTGTCCCCAAATCAGTGGTCACAGCAATTCTACCCAAATTACCATCAATAACCTTTTGGTAGTTACTCCTTTCAACCCCATACAAAGACAAGATATCTTTCTTCACAATATTTCTACAAGGCACAGTAAACTGTGGTTGCAAAGAACAACAGAAATGCTTGAAACCCAAGTGTTCAACAATGCTAAGAGGGGACTCATGGACCAAAATCATTGAGCTCAGCTCCTTCCTAGACACATCAGAGTTGAACTGTGTAGCAGATAATTGGGGTTTTCCAGTTGCTTTGTAATTAGGGCAAAGAATTTTTTGAGCACCATCATGTATCTTTTTTTGGATACAGGTTTTCACATGATTCCTAAGGTGCGAGGTTCCATTACGAGTATCACCACCAAGGTTTTTTAGACAGTACTTGCACTTAGCTTTAATAACCCCATTAAGCTTAACCCTAGTGTAATGAGGCAATACATCAGAAGTCAATTTGCATTCTTCAACAAGCACTTCAGCATTTTCATTAGCCAAGTTACCGTTACCATTACCAACTTGTTCAGGTTGGTTGTTTTTATCAACAGGGGCAGGTTGTGGAGGAACAGGAGCATTGCCAACATTTTCAGGTGCACCGTCCATCTGACATTGAGATAAACGAGTATAAACATCAAAGGATTGCTTGGTTACTTTTTAGGCTTTAGCTATAAGATTTCTAGGTTCAAATGTATAGTCTTTTAGATTCAATTGTAAAATGCAGATGAGACACTTATACTAAACAAGACATGATTCATGAGCAGACCCAAGCAATCAACAGAAACTCGAGTCCCTAATGCCTAATACATGCAAACCAAATTAAGTAAAATGTCCTTAATTCCTTAACTAACCTCGAATCTAGAGAGAGGGGGTCTATTGTCCAGAGTTGTGGATGGTGAACTGATGCCTGATACAAAACTGCAAAAACTCAAACAAAAGTACAAACATTACAATCCAATGAGTCAAAATCAATACAACAAACTACTAATTACTAAACACTAACTGACTAAGGAAATCTGATTAGGGATTACCTCGAGTATCAGAGCATGCAGTCACAGGTGCAGATGAAGATGAAACTGAAGGGCCTTAGAAAGAACCAATCGACTCGAGTTAATTTAAACGAACCTAAAACTAATGCAAGAAACTGAAACAATAAAGACGAATTGAATTGGAAGGTACTTATCTCGAGTTCTGGATTATCGGAACAATAATCGACGACAAATCCTCCCAATAACCTCGAATCGGAGATTGGAACAGTCATCTTCTCCTTTTGCATGTTGTTCTTTGCCTAAATCGATGAGGATATTAGGCTTTGATTGCAAAATGAAGAGGATAATGAATGATTGACAGCCTGGATGGAGAGAATTTCGCGGGAGAATCGAATCGATGGATTGAGTTTGAGCGGCGATTGCCGATTGAGAGCAGAGAAGAGAAGAGAGAGCGGCGAGTTTCCAATTAGGGATTAGGCTTTACCTCCAGCTGCTCGACTTATGGATATATATATATATATATATATATATATATATATGGGAATAATACGACGTCGTTTTTATGGCTCGGGGCGGGCTCGGGGCGGATAGCATGGACTCCGTCACCGCCCGACGTCCGTTATCCACGGATAACGGGTTTCCCCGAATCCGTTAATTCCCCGTCCACGCCGGATAGGAACTGCTCCGCCCAGCCGGATTTCGGGCGGGTACCCGCTCGCGCGGTTTGAAATGCCATCCCTAGTTCTCAAGCGTAATGTGTATAATAGGGGTGTTCAAATGGTTATCATAGTTATTACCAAATCAAATAAGGCTAAATTTCATTAACCAGGAAATACAATATCATAACCAAACAGTCCAAACTAATAATACAACAACCAAATTAACCAAACTAAAGTTTAGTCGATTTGGTTAATTGGTTAACCAGATTAAGCAATATAAAATTATATTATCATTAAGTGAGAAAATCATCGGTTAAATTATCAATTCACAATTTATATAATTAATAAAACATTCTCATAAAAAAATATAATGAATAAAATATAACAATCAACACATAGATATAGTTGTCCCTTAACATAAATACATGCAATTAAGACAATTATCTTACGGTTAGTATAGAAGTATTCACCTAACAAAACTTTATCACAATGGTATGGGTTAATGAATTGTTGTGTTTGTTTGAATTGACTTAGTCTTTTAGCAATTTTCATAGGCTGAAAAGGACATTGCTTTCAAGTTTTCATCCAACATAATGTATGAGATTTATCTAAATTAGGCGTTCATATGTTGTGGTCTACACTCTACATATAAAAATATACATTATAGGAACAATATCAAGCTTTATGTTTTATGAGTCTAAAAGGATGAACATTTAACTCTTGAGTGGTTATTCTAAGTATTAAGTATGTGTATATATTAGATATATGGCTAATTATTTATCTGGTTCATTTGGTTTGGCTGGTTAGGAGTGCCTGAAACCAAACCAAACCACCTAACACAAACCAAACCAAACCAAACCAAACCAATTACCAAATTAACCAAATCAATCCTTTTTTAAAAAAAAAAAAACAAACCAAATTATCCAAATAATATTGGTTAAAATAGTTGCCATGGAACACACCGTTTGCACACATTGGAGGAGGAGGACATAATTATCCAATAAGATAAATTTTGGTGTGCTTGGCAAATACAGGCCCATTTATGCCCAAGCCCAGATTCTGAATTCTCCTCCACGCAAGCAATGGCATTTGCTAGTTGCTGCCACCGTCTCCTCTTTTACACTGGCGAATGTCGGTTTTCGCTTAAACCCTAGCAAAGCAACCGGCCAACCAGGGGTTTATGCTCATTCCCGCCGATCCTCGACTCCTTGGACCTCTCTCTCTTTCCGCCGATGAGTTTAATTCCAACTCCCTTATCTGCCCCTACTAATCAGTTCTGCAGTCAATAGCTCCGGATTTTAGGCAATACATAGATGTCGGCGTCGAGATTGTCCTCGTCCGCGGCGGTGGCCGCAGCAGTGGCCGCTGCGGCTTCCGTCTCAACGTTCCATAACAAAGCTTACGCTGATGGTTCCTGGTTCAACCCCTTCAAGTCTTCTTCTTCCTCTCCTACTCCGAAGCAACAACCAGAGCAACCGCCCGATGTGAACTCAGAAGTGAAGCAACCCGAACCGGATGATCCCAAGGGAGCTGGATTCGATCCCGATGCACTGGAACGAGGCGCCAAGGCTCTTCGAGAAATCAACAGTTCACTTTTAGCAAAGCAGGTGCGGCGGTTTACCTTCTCTTACTTTTGGCTTCCAGTTCCAAGCAATGATTTTTGTTGACATTGATGAATTGGTGTCTCTGCGGTTCTAGGTTTTCGATCTTATGAGGAGACAGGAACAAACTCGGTTAGAAGAATTGGCGGCTGAGAAAGTTAGTTATGAAGCAATTCAGGCTCAAAAGGACATAGTGAGTTATTGAAGCATCAAATCTATTTTATCATGGGCATTTCCTTCAGCTTAGGAGACCTTGCCGTTTGGTCTATCTTCTTGTTCAACTCTTTTTTACTTGCAATGTTTCACAAATATTGGCAGGACAGGCAGAGAAAATTGGCTGAAGAGCAATTAAACCTAGTGCAACAACAAGCGCAAGCAAAAGCTCAGATGATGCGGTACGAGGATGAATTGGCCAGGAAAAGGATGCAGGTTCGATATTCTTATGTTACTCAAGTTTTGGGCTCAGAACCTTAAAGATTGGAACTTTTTATGAAATTGAACCATTTCTTTTACATGCGAAACATGACTTGGTTGCTGTGGCTATGGGTTTCAGAGCAATTTTAAAAACAACTAGCTTTGCTTGTTTAAGTTTGTTTTATAATGTTGAATCATGGTAAGGAATTGAAACTTTGACGGTTTCTAGCCTTCTCTCTTCCTGATTCCTTCGGGCTGGGCTTCTTCTCTTCCTTGATGAAATCGTCCAATAAACTGTGTGATGGCCATGTTGTGGATTCTTTGCAGACAGATCATGAAACCCAGAGGAAACATAATGTAGAGTTGGTCAGGATGCAAGAAGAGTCTAGCATAAGAAAAGAACGAGCAAGACAGGCAACTGAGGAGCAGATCCAGGCTCAGCAGCGCCAGACTGAAAAAGAAAGAGCTGAAATAGAACGAGAAACCATAAGAGTTAAGGCCATGGCTGAGGCTGAAGGCCGAGCCCATGAGGCAAAATTGACGGAGGACCATAATAGGAGAATGCTTGTTGAAAAGATAAATGGTGAACGTGAGAAATGGCTTGCTGCAATCAATACAGCCTTCAGTCACATAGAAGGTGAAGAAATTCCATAATGTGATTCCCCAATGCTTGTATACGGAATTATAATCTGCATATTTAGCAGTTTTCTGATGTTATTTTGTGAAATTGCTTTCGCAGGTGGTTTCAGGACATTGTTGGATGATAGAAATAAGTTGATAATGACAGTTGGAGGAGCTACTGCATTGGCTGCAGGAATTTATACAACCAGGTTTGTATAGTAACTATTGTGTAGTGATAACGGAATCTGTTTCGTAGATCTATGATACAAGCTTCTGATAAGTTTGAGGTGGTTAGTGATGAGACAACGTAACATGAAGCAATGATGCTTGATTTTTTCTGTCTACAGAGAAGGAGCTCGGGTAACATGGGGTTACATCAACAGAATTCTTGGGCAGCCATCTTTGATTCGTGAATCATCCATGTCTCGATTTCCATTGTCAAAGTTAGCCACCGACGCAAAGAACAAAATCAGCAGATTTGGTACTGCACCAGGGTCATCGGCACCACTGGAAGGTAGAAGTGGGTTCAAGGATATAATCCTTCACCCTTCATTGCAAAAGAGGATCGAGCAACTCTCTAGGGCTACTGCTAACACCAAAAGTCATCAGGCACCGTTCCGCAATATGATGTTTTATGGGCCTCCGGGCACTGGTAAAACAATGGTTGCCAGGGATATAGCTCGGAAATCGGTATTATTCTTACTCATTATCTGTATTGGGTCCTTTTTCATTGGCTAATCTATGTTGGTGACTTTACTGAAGTCTTCTGTTCCTAATATTGGCCATGTAGGGTTTGGACTATGCGATGATGACTGGAGGAGATGTAGCGCCCCTTGGAGCAGAAGCTGTTACCAAAATCCATCAGTTGTTCGACTGGGCTAAGAAGTCGCAGAAAGGACTTTTACTTTTTATTGATGAGGCTGATGCTTTCCTCAGCGAGTAAGTTCGGTACTTCTCTAGGATTGGAATTTTGAATTCAGTTTGGTCAATGAAAAGTGCATTTCAATCACGCTTAAGCAGTGCTGCCTCATTCTAAAAGCTACGATGGTTGTGTCGCCTTTGGAAAATGGTTGACCTAAATGCTAAAAGACCTGCAAAATTTTCAGTCTAATGTTTTAAACAACTGTCCATAAATCCCTGATTATTTGAATTAAAATTCATATTCCATGCTGTTTGCACTCGTGTCGTTAGTAACATTCCTTTTCTCCATTGGAATTATATATCTCTCAGGCGTAACAGCACCCATATGAGTGAAGCTCAGCGGAGTGCACTAAACGCATTGCTATTCCGAACCGGGGATCAGTCAAGAGACATAGTTCTCGTTCTGGCGACAAACAGGCCAGGCGATCTCGATAGTGCGGTTGCTGATCGTATCGATGAAGTGATTGAATTCCCTCTTCCTGGGGAGGACGAACGGTTTAAATTGCTCAACCTTTACTTGAAGAAGTACCTATCAAATGAGGGGGGAAATGGAGAAGAACCCAAATGGAGTGGTTTCTTCAAGAAGAAACCACAACAGATAACAGTAAAGGACGTGACTGAGGAAGTGTTGAGAGAGGCGGCAAAGAAGACGGAAGGCTTTTCCGGGCGTGAGATAGCGAAGCTAATGGCCAGCGTTCAGGCGGCGGTGTATGGTAGACCTGACTGTCTGTTGGATTCTGAGCTGTTGAGGGAGGTTGTGGATTATAAGGTTAAAGAGCATCACCAGAGAATCAAGCTAGCATCTGAAGGTGGTCAGCCTCAGCCATCCTAAGCGCCGGCGGAGAATTCAATCTTTCCGAGACTTTGATGATCTGCAGGGATTCGTTCTACTATGGTCTAGGACCATGGTCGTGAGAGAGGGCAAGGTTTTTGCTGAAACTATGTATTTTATTATCACTCCCTTAGTTTCTTGATTTTACTCGCCCAATGATAATGTTAGAAATTGCTTTAGATATGAAAGACCTCCCTCCAAGGGCCAAAACTTAGATACGGCTTTCCACGGAATTTATAAGTATCTTTGAGATGGAGCATGAAATGTAATTGAGCATATGGATAAATGTCACATCTTGTCACTGAGATTGTCAATGAGATTATTAAATCGTGTCATGTTTAGTTATTCGAGTGATCAAAATTGATATTTAATTTTTCTAGTGACTAAAGATAACAAGATAGTAATCTCATTTGGTGGCATTAACCCTAAGCATATGTTTCCCTACATTTCCAGTTAGATCATCTCCAATAAGATCCCAAGAGTGTTTAGAATTCCAAAAGTGCTAAAACCCCACTACAGTTCTAAAATGCTAAAAGTTCTAAGTTTGGGAGCCATATAGGGATGGCAACAAAACCCGATGCCACGGGTACTGTCACATGTGGCAGATGACATGGCGCCAACAAGGTGACAACAAGGCGGCTACACATGTGGCATGTATGGAAGACTAGTAGCATAGAGATGCTCCTAGGATTCTCCACCTAAATGAGAGCTTAATGGTGCACTTATGGGCTACATTATGGTAGTATTAATAGAGTGCATTATGGGGGGACTTTATGGGGTGTATTGATGTAGTAGAGAGACATTATGAGGGGCATTGATGCCTTGTATGAGGAGAGGCCTATATAAGGAGCCATCTCCCTCACTTGTAACTCATTCCATCATTTTTGAGAGTAATACACACTAGAGAGTTCTCCCACTTCCTTTGTCTTTGTTCTTGTTCTTTGCTTTCAAGTGAGTTGAGAGAAAGGCTGCCTAGCGCTCTAACGGATTTGAGAGCTAGGGCCGCACGATCGAGAGTAAGGTCGTGACAAGTGGTATCAGAGCCTGGTTCGGCTTTGTGCTAGCAAAGTTGAACCTAGAGCCAGAAGGAAAGGAAGAACCTCACCAAAAATGTCGGGATCAGATAGCGGCGTTACCGAGCACGAGAGGCGTGGAAGGGATCACACCAAGAATCCCAAGCCAAAGGGTGACAAGTCAAGCACTCGTGATCCTATGGCGGCGCTAGAGAGGCGTGTTGCTCGAGTGGAAGTGAAGATTGCGAAAGACATCACTGCCATCGAGGATTTGGGAGGTAACTTCGCCCAAGTCCAAGGCGATGTTCAAGGAATGGCTGGTCGGTTGACAAGCTTGGAGATCAACCATGATGGGATGCGGGAAGAGCCTGTGGCCCTCATCAACAACACCATCACCGCCTCCATGAACAACGCCCTTGAAGTTGTGAAAGAGCAAGTCCAGGCTGAGTTGGTCTGCGTGAAGGAGGAGATTGCAGACCTCAAGAGTGAGGTCACTCTCGTGAAGAGAGCCATGGCTAGCGGACCAGCCCCGGTGCAATCCGTCCCACGTGCTGACGTTCCAAGACCGAAGAACTTCGGAGGTTCAAGGCATCCAAGAGGATGAGGTAAAACTTCGTACCGCTCCACTATACTTGGTCGATGTTGCAATGGTGTGGTGGAGGCGACGTGAAGCGGACGTCGAAAGAGGTACTTGTGTGATGGTAACGTGGGAAGATTTCAAGAGAGAAATCAAGAGGCAGTTCTACCCGGAGAACGTGGAATTTGAAGCCCGTTCGAATTTGAGAAGACTCACCCAGAGGGGTGGAGTTCGAGAATATGTGAAAGAATTCTCGGAACTGCTTCTAGAGATCCCGGACATCACGGACAAGGAGGCCATGCACGGCTTTCTTGATGGGCTGCAACCATGGGCCAAGATGGAGATGCAACGTCGAGGAGTGCAAGACCTTGCAACTGCCATGGCCACGGCGGAGTCTTTTGTTGAGTACAAAAGGCAAGAGAGCAGCGGCAAAGAGAAGAGTTCGAAGCCCAACAAGGGTGGAGAACAGCAGAAGCCTTTCAAGGAGGGTTCTCGCACTCAACAACACCAAGGTGGTTCAAGCAAAGGTGGTAAGTACGAGCCAAAACCCATGACTTGTTTCCTTTGCGATGGACCACATCGAGTGCGGGATTGCCCAAGGAAGGCGAGATTGGCGGCCATGGAAGCTCAAGAGGAGGAGCCCAAGGCAGCGGAGGCCAAGATTGGCTCAATCCGCAAGCTTGGCGCGGTGAAGACCGACGTCAAGGAGAGCAAGCGTGGGAGGTGCTATGTTCTGGCGCAATTCATGCAAGGCGAGTCAAAAGCCTTGGTGGATACCGGTGCCACGGACAACTTCCTTCGCATCGAGGAGGCAAACCGGCTGGGTATTGCTTACGAGAAGGGGCAAGGGAGGCTCAAGACGATCAACTCGGAATCCATCCCGATCCATGGAGTTGCTCACAACGTGCCAGTGAAGCTTGGCGAGTGGGAAGGCCTCATCGACTTTTCCGTCGTCACCATGGACGATCACCCAGTCATCCTCGACATCAACTTCCTCGACAAGGAGGGAGTGCTCTTGAAGCCCAACTCCAACACGATGTGCTTGGAGAAGGAGGGGGAGTTTCACACGATCCATCTCTTGAGAGAAGATGGCCCCCATAGTGCTTTATCGGCCATGCAGGTATTGAAGGGGTTCAAGAAGAATGAACCAACCTTTCTTGTGTCCTTGAAAATGGAGGAAGAAGGAGGCTCAGCGGGAATCACAACTCCCCTCATCGAAGGTGTCCTCGAAGAGTTCGACGACGTGATGCCATCGGAGTTGCCCAAGAAGCTGCCACCAAGAAGAGAGGTGGACCACAAGATCGAGTTGGAGCCAGGAGCGAAGCCCCCTTCACGAGCACCATACCGCATGTTGCCACCGGAGTTAGAGGAGTTGCGGAGGCAGCTCAAGGACTTGGTGGACGCAGGCTACATGCGGCCATCGAAGTCACCTTTTGGAGCACCGGTGATGTTCCAAAAGAAGAAGGAAGGGTCGTTGCGCATGTGCATCGACTATAGAGCCATCAACAAGTTGACGGTGAAGAACAAGTGGTCGATTCCCAACATTGGCGATCTGTTCGACCAGCTTGGAGATGCGATGTGGTTCACCAAGCTTGATCTTCGCTCGGGCTACTATCAAGTGCGGATAGCAGAGGGCGATGAGCCAAAGACAGCTTGTGTGACGAGGTATGGCTCTTACGAGTTTCTTGTGATGCCATTCGGTCTCACCAACGCACCAGCCACGTTTTGCAATTTGATGAATCAAGTGTTCGAGCCATTCTTGGACCGGTTTGTCGTGGTCTACTTGGATGACATCGTCGTGTATAGCAAAACACTCGATGAGCATGCCGAGCATCTACGCCAAGTCTTCCAAGTCCTTCGCGACAACGAGTTGTACGTCAAGAGGGAGAAGTGCACATTTGCCGCCATGGAGGTTCCATTCTTGGGGCACATCATTGGTGGAGGCAAGTTGAAGATGGATGGAGCGAAGGTGCAGGCAATCCAAGAATGGGAGCCGCCGACGAAGGTGCCAGAGTTGCGGTCATTCCTCGGCCTTGCCAACTACTATCGGAGGTTTATCAAGGGCTACTCCAACATTGCTGCACCCTTGACGGATCTCTTGAAGAAGAACAAGGCGTGGGATTGGTCGGAAAGGTGCCAAGAAGCATTCGAGGCCTTGAAGCAAGCAGTGGTGAAGGAGCCCGTGCTCGTGCTCCCCAACCCGACTTTGGCCTACGAAGTGCAGACCGATGCATCCGAATTCGCGATTGGAGGCGTGTTGATGCAAGATGGGCATCCCATTGCCTTCGAGAGTCGGAAGCTTAGCGAGACGGAGAGGCGATACACCGTTCAAGAGAAGGAGATGACGGCCGTGGTGCATTGCTTGCGCACATGGAGGCACTACTTGTTGGGGTCAAAGTTCGTAGTGAAGACGGACAACGTGGCAACGAGCTACTTTCTGACGCAGAAGAAGCTCACCCCCAAGCAAGCGAGGTGGCAAGACTTTTTGGCCGAGTTCGACTTCGTCATGGAGTACAATCCAGGCAAGGCGAATTCTGTTGCCGATGCTCTTAGCCGCAAGAGTGCCGCCGCAAGCATCAGCCAGCCCATGTTTCCTTTGAAGGAGCGGATCGTTGAAGGCCTTGGCCATAACCCCTTCGCCAAAACCGTAGCGGAGTACATCGAGCAAGGCAAGACTCGACGGTTTTGGATGAAGGATGGGCTCATCATGACCAAGGGAGAGCGAGTGTTCGTGCCAAGATGGGCCAACTTGAGGAAGGAGATCATGAAGGAGTGCCATGATTCCAAGTGGGCGGGCCATCCCGGCATCGAGAGGACGCAAGCGCTCATCGAAGAAGCATACTTCTGGCCACGTATGAGAGACGATGTGGAGATGTATGTGAAGACTTGTATTGTGTGCCAACAAGACAAGATGGAGCAGAGAAGCCCGGCAGGCTTGCTAGAGCCCTTGCCCACGCCTCAACGACCATGGGAGAGTGTAAGCATGGACTTCATCATCGGACTTCCCAAAGTCGATGGATGCGGTTGCATCATGGTTGTGGTGGACAGATTCTCGAAGTATGGACTGTTCATCCCCGGCCCAAAAGACATGACGGCAGAGGATGCGGCGCGACTATTCTTCAAGAATGTGGTCAAGTATTGGGGCGTTCCTAGCAACATCGTAAGCGACAGAGATGGGCGCTTCACGGGCAGATTTTGGCGAGAGTTGTTCAAGATCATGGGCTCGGACTTGAACTTCTCGACGGCATTTCATCCTCAAAGCGACGGACAGACGGAGCGGGTGAATGCCTTGTTGGAAGTGTACTTGCGACACTACGTGAGTGCAAACCAACGAGATTGGGTGAAGTTGATGGATACGACACAATTCTCCTACAACTTGCACCGCAGCGAGTCGACCAACACGAGTCCATTTGAGTTGGCAACGGGGCAGCAACCTTTGACACCTACGACGGTGGCAACGGGTTATAGAGGCAACAGTTCGGCAGCCTACAAGTTTGCTAAAGGCTGGCACGAGAAGATGGAGATGGCCAAGTCTTACTTAGCCCGCGCTAGTAAGAAGATGAAGAAATGGGCGGACAAGAAGAGGCGGCACTTGGAAT